GGAGCTTCGATCAATAAAGTGTAATACATACAGCCATTATATCTATTCCCAGGTGTAGGTGGAGGTGGAAATGAGTGGTGGCGAGGTACCCTTTGAGCTTTGGACTAGTGTTAGGGTTTGTCAACCGCAGGAGCCCAGGATGCAGTAAATGACAAAAGAAAGGTTTCAGCTAAGACAAGGTACAGACAAGGGTATAACAAAGTTGAGGTCAGATTCTGCAGGATGGGTTGGTCCAGGAAGCAAAGATTAACGGTAGTCAAGTGAAAGTAACAGATACCACAACAGCACAGTAGCAGCTAGATGCACTTACATAGTGAACATACAACGTCTGAGCAATGAGCAAGGATTTGAAGAGACTTTATATGTGGGAGAAAGAGACATGCACCCTCCACGTCACTTTGCCTAACAATTACTACCCCTCTTGTCATTCTGCCACTGCAAAGCTGTTGCGGCTCCCGACCCGCCGGGTGCCGCGGCCGTACCCGACCGGCATGGTCTCGCTGACACCACGAGCTTACCTGCTCGTCGGCGAGCCGGGAGCCGCTCCACTGCCTTCTCTGGGCATTGCACCCAAATCAAAGATGGCGCAGACCACGTGGTCGCTTCCATCTTAAGCTCCGCCCCTCTAATGAATACAGACGTACGCGTGACGTCATGACGTCAGCGCGCGCGCATGTTCTGGGGTCAAAGGTCACCCAATCAGAAGCCAGAGAGGGATATTTAAATCCCTAATTCACTTTACTCCCTTGCCCTGTCGTGGTTTCCTGTTCCTGATAGTGCGTTTATCTTTGTGAATTTGACTTCCTGGTATCCTGATCTTGGCTTTTCCCTGGTTATTCTGAATTCTGGTTCCCCTGACTTGGCTTGTTTAAACGGTATTTGAGTATTTCTGGCTTCCTTGACCTCGGCTTTCCCTTTGACCATTCTCTATCTCTACCGTATTAGTCCGGCCATTCTAAGGTCTGGTTTACTCTCTGTCCTTTTATTTTCCTTTTCTTTTGTATGTATATATTTACATAGTTTCTGCGTGTTGGACCACACTAGCTGCCGTGAGAAAAGCACATGGGCATGCCAGCTGCAACCAAGTAGCATATAGCAGGGGCTACGGCAGAGATGCTGCATTTACACTCACAGAGTTTGGAAGGATCTTGATCATCACAGGGCCATAGGCCATCACGGGGTGGAGGAAGAACATTTAACATGCATCTTCTGATTGATTGTGGGATCTAACAAATTCTACATTTTTCCCTATATTTTTTAAACACATATTTGAAGGCTGATTGTGTCTCTTTCAGTTATCTCTTTCCTATTACATGCTGTCTCACAGATCCAGCAGGTGCTTTTTATATTTGTTTTACTTTTCAGCACCTCCGAAGATTTCAACACTTTCTGCTTCTCTGCACTGTGGTATTAAAAAGGTGATTACACAGCCATCATACATCACGTGGGACCCTTCATCCAATCTCATTGGCTCTACTATAGATGCCAGAAATTATATTCAATAATGCAATCTAGTAAATAGTTTTCACTAAAGTTGCCCTTTTTCTGGCATTGTGATTGAGTTAAGCCAGTTAGTAAATAGCATTTTATTGTAATTTTCCCCCGACACCAAAAGGTATTGGAGTCTAGTAAATCAGGTCCAGTGTCCTTGTTTAACCTTAACTTAGTCTCCACCAATTAAGTCTGGCAAATCATGCCCTAGACAATCTGTGAAGATCTTGCCCAGCAACTTTACATTTCTTTTCATAACCTGCCATTTCCAGCATTACTGAGCAGATACATTTCCCAAACAAATCTAACAAGGAGGAATCAGAATGTAGGTTTCAGGAATTGCTCAGACATCCTGGAAGGATCTGTGAAGCACATAAGTCCATAATCCTATCTAATTACCACCTCTTGTCACTTGGTCATAACAATGGAATAAACGCTTTTATCTGTAAATCTGTAGATACTTTTCCTTTCATATAGTGGTTCTTTGCAAGTCCTAGGTAAAATCATTATGAATTCACCTGAAACTACAAACACATTATATAAGTTGTTTTTATTTTTATTTTATTTTTGTGGATAATGGGTAAGCATTAAATGCGACTTTATGAGCAGAATGGGGCATTAACTTGTCAAGCATAATACATTTAATGCCATAATCACATTGGTCCGTAAAATTCTATGCAAATATATAATGTACTGTTTATGCAGCTGTATATACTCAGATATACTCAGTCACAGTTAAAGGGATACACTAATCTTCATAGCCACTATAGCATGCTGTAGTGGTTAATAATGTCAGGCGTACACTGGCATTGTTATCAGGTAAATGGGCAAACCATTATACAATGGTTCGCGACTTACCAAGTCTTCATCGAATGCTGAGCTGCAATGAATGGTAGTTACATCTTCTGCAAAGCTACAAAAGTCATATGCTGATACTGCCATTCATTCATTGGCTGAGAGGGTTAGTTCAGTGCTTTCAGCCAATGAATTAGTGCCTGCGCATGGAGTATGCACAGAATTAACATTAGAAAGATCAGAACTATCCGTACAGGTTGGCTAACTCAAGCTGCCAGAGGTGGAGCTACACCTACAGGAGCTAGCTGCAATATTTCAGCATGTGCAGTGTTTCAGTGTATTTGCACCATAACAACTTCAAAACACTGAATTAGTTATGTAGCTTTAAATACCTCTTTGGATTAGTTGTGATACATGATATTTTTCTTAATTAATTCTTTATTTGTATAAGAAAGTTTTTACATGTAAGGAAATATGGAGATATTGAGGTAATTAAAGATGAAAAACCAGAGGAGATAACATTTGGGATAAAAAGATATGAAGGATCAGATAGGTGAGAGCCATAAACAGTGAACATAAATTTACAAGACTATCAGTGAAAGAAGTAATACTAGCTAAACAAATAATTAACAAAAAGTCATAAAGAATGAACATAAAATAATAAGACTATAAATACACCAACTTTAAAAATAAAACAAAACAGAAGATCAGGATTGTATATACCGTATATACTCGAGTATAAGACGAGTTTTTTGGCACATTTTTTGTGCTGAAAACCCCCCACTCGTCTTATACTCGAGTCAATGTCTGTATTATGGCAACTTACATTGCCATAATACAGACCAGGACCGCCGGGCTCATTACAAGCCCGGTGGTCCTGTTGGGGGCTGGCAGAGAGCTGTAACTTACCTTTCCTGCAGCTCCTGTCAGTTCCCTTTTCCTGCATTCCGGTCAGCTCCCCACTGTAAGTCTCGCGAGAGCCATGGCACTCAGACCGCGAGACCAGTGGGGAGCTGACCGGAACGCAAGAGAAGGGAGCTAACAGGAGCTGCAGGAAAGGTAAGTTACAGCTAGCTGCCAGCCCCCCTCCTGCACAGCCCATCTACTGGACCACCAGGGAATGAGAGCCCCCCTCCCTGGCTATGTATCAAGCAGGGAGGGGGAACCAAAAAAATTACATAAAAAGTTAAATAATATTAAAATAAAATAAACATTGTAATATTAAAAAAATAAAAAAACATTTAATATTAAAATAATAATAATAATAAAAAATTATGATAAAAATGCCCACCCCCCCGACCAAGGTTACACACTCTGCATCACATACACAAACACACTCTGCATCACATACACACACACACACACACACACACACACACTGCATTATATACACACACACTGCATTCATACACACACACACTGCATTCATTATATATACACACACACACTGCATTATATACACAGACACTGCATTCATACACACACACACACACACACACACTGCAGTATATACACACACTACATTATATACACACACAGCACTGCATTTTATACACACATACTGCATTCATATACACACACTGCATTATATACACACACACACACACACTGCATTCATTATATACACACACTGTAAATAAATATTCAATTAATATATTTTTTGGGGATCTAATTTTATTTAGAAATTTACCAGTAGCTGCTGCATTTCCCACCCTAGTCTTATACCCGAGTCAATATGTTTTCCCAGTTTTTTGGGGTAAAATTAGGGGCCTCGGCTTATATTCGGGTCGACTTATACGCGAGTATATACGGGTATAATAGTTATCAATTAGGTAGTGAGAATATAGTGAGGGAGGTGGAATAGAACACAATTTTAAATTAAGAAATAAAGGGAAATAATAAGAAGTACAGTCATTCTTGACAAGATCTTCCAGAGATGATACCTCTGCTTAGGCGATTCTGCAGAGCTCGGTTGATTGTGAGTACTGGGTGTTGTTAATCAATGCTGTTATATTGGGGCCCAGTCTCTGCTTAGGCGATTCTGCCTAAGAAACAGAAACCTTTTGTGTGGAACTGTATCAAATCCCTTAAGAAAACCAAAGTAGATCACATCTACTGGAACAACCTGATCTATATTTCCGCTACCTTCTACACAGAGCACAATTAAGTTAGTTTGGCATAGCCTGTCTTTCATAAAACCACATAAAAATAAACCAATATACAGTGATATCTATAGGCATTCAATTATAAGTTAGCAACATGTGAACAACTCTCATTTGTGACCATCTGCCCCCAACCCCCCCTCATCCCCCCTACTACTGTCAAAAATGCAAAAATAGTGATAAACAAAATAAGGTGTGCTCGTGATTAATATTTATCAATACTACAAGATGATTTGATATGGCCTGAACATGTTTTTTATATAGTGGACACTGATATCCATACATTTTTAGTTCTGCAGATTTTAATTTAACAGTCATTTTTTGTTTATGGATTTATTCCTTATATGATTATTATATTATTATTTCTAATTTTTAATTAATTTGCACTATTATTGTTATATGTTTTTTTTTTCTAATTTCCATATCAATATAATTAGAAATGGACACAAATTGATAAGTATTATTCACAAGTAGTGATGTCCCGAACGGTTCGCCGAACGGTTCGCCACGGACGGCGAACATATGCGGTAAACTTTGATCCTGTACCTCACAGTCAGCAGACACTTTCCAGCCAATCAGCAGCAGACCCTCCCTCCCAGACCCTTCCACCTCCTGGACAGCATCCATTTTACATTCATTGTGAAGCTGCATTCTTAGTGAGCTGTCCAGGAGGTGGGAGAGTCTGGGAGGGAGGGTCTGCTGCTGATTGGCTGGAATGTGTCTGCTGACTGTGAGGTACAGGGTCATAGTTTACCGCATATGTTCGCCGTCCGTGGCGAACCGTTTGGCGAACCGTTCGGGACATCACTATTCACAAGCACACTTCATTTTGTTTGTCACTATTTCTTAAAACTGCATTGGTTCCTGCTAATGATATTGATTTTCAACACAAAATTCCTGAATATTTTCCCTTAACAGCCCTACAAATAATTTTCGAACCACAGATGTTAAACAGTTACTACAAGTTCCTTGTCCACTTCAGTGGTTATGCTGCATAGAGTCTGCATGTCCAGAGTTAAAATGAAACACAGATTTACAGATACAGATTTTAAAACTTTTTACTGATGGAGCGTCATTTGTGTGTCATTAGCCCGGCCGGCTAATGTCAATTCTGTGCATGTTCCTATACACAGAGTTAGATTCATTAGTTTATGGTGGTCAGCTCTGACTAATGGAGATGTTGCATATGTTAGATTTAACAAAATAAGCAGCAATGTGTATAAAAATGATTTAAAAAATGGTGAACAAATGGCACCTCAAAGTTTAAAGTTCAAGGTATATCATTGTATACACCTATAACATAATTTAAATGTATGAGCTACTACAATGTCCAACATACACTACAGACCCATCTATAATTAAAAAGAAAAATGCAGTGGGCAGGTTATTAAATCAACTCTGTACAACAGGGTAATTCTGTAGACAGGAGATATAGTTGAGAACAATTTAATGATTTTTATTAAAGTAGCGCAAATCAAGTTTACAAAATAAACAGCTACATTTCAATGTGCATGTAAAAACCCTCACAATTAAAATACCATGAACTTTGAAAGAAACAAGAAAAATGTGGCTGCATAATAAGACTTAATATATACATACCCCGAGGTGTCTACTTTTGCAAATGATAAGCATTTAATGTGAACATTCATGCTGATACAATAGCCAAAAATGAGACATAGGCACATCAAATGTATCTTTTAAAATTCTAACTTTAAAAAGTGAATAAACTCATCAAATCCATCTTTTACAATTCTAACTGTAAAAACCTAAATTGTCAGGTTTCTTATATGGCAAAGGCATACAATAGGTGTATTGTTGTACTCAGAAGATATAGCTGTAAACAAGTTGGGGTTTTATAGGATTTGGACACATCACATATAAAATACACATTAAAAACCCTGTTATGTTTGTATGAAAAAAATTTAAATACAAAATATATATATATATTTTAAACAGAAATGGGCAATTAAATGGCAATGTACAACATTTAAGCATTTACCCTGTCATAGGTAAATACTCTGTCTTGTCTATGTTATATCAATATTTAGTTTTGTGTGGCAATTGTCTTTTCTGTCATGGCTATTAAACGTATTATTGGCATTTATATAGTGCCAAATTATTCCACAGCACTTTACAACTCTTCCTTAGGCCCAATTTAACTTCCATCACTGCCATTGGCGGATCCAGGGGGGGGCAACGGGGCAATTGCCCCCCCCGAGAGTCCCCCCTGCCGGCTCATGCAGGGCTGGCATTGCCCAAGTGCCAGCCCTGCAATGTGCCTGCGGACCAGGGGGGAGATCAGTGATCTCCCTCCCCGGTCCGCAGGCACTGTGCTGGCAGCAGGTCCGGCGGGGGAAGGGAGAGGGAGGAGAGAGGACCCGGGAGCTCAGCTCGCAGCTCCTCCGGGTCCTCCTCTCGCGAGATTTGGAGCGTTGCCGCGGTTACCACGGCAACGCTCCAAATCTCGCGAGAGTGAACTCTAGCCCTGGAGCGCGGGCTAAAGTTCATTGTAACCACTGGACCACCAGGGATTCCCACTGGGACCAGCAGGGACGGAGAAATGTCCCCCCTCCTCCTCCATAAAGGTAAGAAGGGAGGGGGGACATAAATATATTTATTTTATTTAATGCATTTTTTATTTATTTATTTATTAAAAAGCCTCCCTTCCCTCCTCCCCCCCCCACACTGCCCCACATACACACTCTGTCCCCATACACACACTGCCCCACAAACACTGTCCCCCATACACACACTGCCCCCATACACAACTGCCCACAAACACTGTCCCCATAAACACACTGCCCCACAAACACTGTCCCCATACACACACTGCCCCCCATACACATACTGCCCCCCATAAACACGCCCCCATACACACACTGCACCCCACAAACACTGTCCCCATACACACTACACACAAACACTGTCCCCATACACACACACTGTCCCCACACAACAAACACTGTCCCCATACACACTGCCCCCCATACACACTGCACACACCCACAAACACTGTCCCCATACACACACTGCCCCACAAACACTGTCCCCATACACACACTGCACACCCATATACACACTGCCCCCACACCCACTGCCCCCATACACACACTGCACACCATACACACACAGACACATACAGTGCCCTACACACACTGCTGCCCCCCCACACACGACCCCCCACATACATACAGTGCCCCCCATACATACAGTGCTCCCCATACACACACTGCCCCACACAAACATACAGTGCCCCCATACACACACTGCCACACATACACTGCCCCCAACACACACTGCAACCCTGACATACACTGCTGCCCTTACACACTCACACACACTTCACGGCTCACACACACACACACTGCACCTTTCACACACACTTCACCCCTAACACACACCACTTCTCCTATGCCCTATATCCCAGCAGACCCCAGGTAAGTTGTCAAACTGTTCTTAAACGGTATGACTACTTACTCTGGGGTGGGATCCTGGCACTACTGGCACCATAACTTCTACACTGAGCTGTAGTGGTTATTGTGCCAGGATTATTTATTTAAATAATCTACAAGTGCCCCTCCCGAGATCAGGCTCTGGATCCGCCACTGATCACTGCAACTAAGAATCTCCATTTCTATTCAACTCCCACCCTGGTTCCTTCTAACTATATAGCATTATTCCTCCAGCTTTTTCGAACCACAGTCAATCATCTCCTTATTCCCTTCACATGTTATCAATCACTGCAATCACACTAGGGCATATAGCGGTATAATCCCCGCTACAGGATATAGTGGAGATTATATTATATATTGTAGCGGAACGCCAATATTAATCCACGAATTCCGCTGGTCCAGAAACGAATCCACAGTCAAGCGCTGAAAACACCAAGGCAATATCCCCAACCTCCCAATAACCGGACGAGACACAGTTTTGGGAGTCAACTGACAATCCTTTAATCGGCACGACAATTTATACAAGTCCCCATGCAAGGGGTTTCCTGAGTCCCTTCCCAGGGGCACTCTCAGAGGGGACTACATGGGGGACTTACAGTATAACATATTTCTCCCATCAGGCACTGCTGCACGAGAGGGATCATCCTCCCAGAATGCACCGTTAAGGGGATTATCCCCTCGTGCAGCAGAACCGGCAATTCATATAAAAATACATAACTTTTAAAATACACAGTGGATTTACACGAATGGACGTTCGGTAGTTAGCTGGGGTCTGGGCGCATCATTCGTGAGATTGCCGCTCAGATCCCAGCCAAAATAACCGAACGCCGCACAGAAAACACATTTCTTTCAAAACCCACAAAAAGAACCGATTGCTTTTGGTGAACCTGGTCCTGAAACTCCCGAACGTCTCGGAGGCTCAGCGGTGTTCGTGCCGTCGAATAACTATTGGTAATGTTATGCGTTCGACGACACGGACCCGCTGACGAACAAGGGATCCAAGATGGCCGACCGCCGCATGGTCGGTAGTCGAACGACGGCCACCCAGGAGAGCCTCTAATAACCGATTGCAACAATGTTGCAATCGGTTAACTAGCGCCACACGCCTCTAAGTGTGTGGGCTATTAGGGGGTATCGCGTTCGGTTCACGAACGGCTTTCTAAAGTGCCGTTCGTGAAACGAAAGAAAATCCCCATACAAAACCGCCATTTGCATTCGGCGGAAACAGCAGTACAGGCAATACAGAACATACATTAGCATCTACATAAGTGTAAAGCGCATATCTCGCCCGACCTATTGGCAACCCTTAAAGGCACAGTCTCTAGTTAATGTCCAAGTGGCTAGGTTTGCCACAATGCTCCCCCAGAACCAAGCCGGCATACACAGTCTGATCCCAACGGATCGGCTTGGGGATGTCCGGAGGAGCGCTCACAGATCATTTCTCAAGGTCTGTTTGTCGGGACAACCCGTCGGCATTACCGTTTTGTTTCCCTGGGCGGTAGTGAATTGTAAAGTCAAAGGGCTGCAGCGCTAAACTCCAGCGCAGCAGCCTGGCATTGTCTCCAGCCACACGGTTTAGCCACACCAACGGGTTGTGATCTGTGAGCAAAGAAAAGGGTTGCCCATAGAGATATGGCTGTAACTTTTTCAGGGCTCACACCACGGCCAGGCATTCTTTTTCTATGGCGGCGTAGCTCACCTCTCGGGGTAACAATTTCCGACTCAAGTACGCTACGGGGTGTTCTCCGCCATCGGCTCCGACCTGGCTCAGTACTGCTCCCAATCCAAACATTGAGGCGTCTGTGTGAACAAGAAAACGTTTAGTTGGATCGGGAGCTGCCAGTACAGGGGTATTGGTCAGAGCCGTCTTCAGCTGATTGAATGCCTGTTCACACTCTGGGGCCCAGACGACCTGCCGGGGCAGGTTTTTCTTCGTCAAATCCGTCAGGGGTTTGGCCAGGGCACTGTAGTTGGGTACAAATTTTCTATAGTACCCTGCGGTACCTAGGAAAGCCAGGACTTGGGTTTTGGTCCTAGGGGTAGGCCACTGGGCTACAGCTTCAATCTTTGCGGGCTCAGGCTTCTGCTGCCCGCTACCCACCCGGTGTCCTAAGTACTGGACCTCTGCCATCCCTATGTGGCATTTGCTGGGTTTCAAGGTAAGCCCTGCCTCTCGGATCCGATCTATTACGGCCCCTATGTGTTGTAGGTGCTCCGACCAGGTCTGACTGTATATGGCAATATCGTCCAGATATGCACACGCATAGTCCTGGAA